AAATATATATTTTCTATAAGAACATTTAAAATCTTTTTTTTATAGTTACTTGTATTTATGTCCCATTTCCATTACTACAGCATAGTATCTTTTAAGTCTTGAGAGCAAGGTTTATTCCCTCTTTGTAATTTATTACACTGTGATTATAAGTGGAAAGAAAAAATTAAAGCTAAAATTAATTCATTGAAACATTTTTTAGTTCAGGAGAATTACATCGATATTAAACTATGCAGCTTCAAGCATTTAAAATGAATTCCACTTACCTGTCTTAAGTTATTTGGTAGCAAGTGACTGGACTATAAAATGCCTTGCTGTGCTACCTTCAGGGTATTACTGTTTGCTAAGCTATTTCCTATTAAAGACCAATGAACAGAGATAGCTGCCAAACATTTTTTAGGTTGCTTGTTCTGTTTGTAAACAGAAGGTATATAATATTTAACAAGGTGCAGTTATTTGCAAACTAGATTTATGCAGAATGAAAGAACTGAAAAACAGGGAAATTAAGGCAATCTTAAGTGCTTAATGACCCCATTAATTGAGAGGTAGGTAATTGGAGAAATTAAACAGAAGAAGTAATGGCCTTGGAGTCATTAAGTTATTCCGGGAGTACTGCTAATGTTTACAGGTGATTCTCTTCTGGATTGAGAGTAAAGAATCAATCTGCTGTAACACAGTCCTTGTTGAATCTAACCAATAATAGGAATCTCTTGGAAAGCTTTTGAACAATACAGGTCCTATGATCTTCATATTCCATGACGAGACTCTACAGGTAGGGACAGAGGGTTGGGGGTTTTTAAAAGCTTTCCAGTTTTGGGGGGTTGTTTGTTTGCTGCATTTTATTAGGATTTTTTTTTTGTCTTTTAATGAAAGCTGATCAAGTTTAGGCATTAGTGTTTTAGAATGGAGATCCTTGAGCTGGGCAACATTGGTACTTTGGGGGTGCTGGATTTGGGGTGCCCCATGCATTGCAGGTGTTTAGCAACACCTGTTGGACTTTATCCCTGGACATAAACCCCTACTTCCTTTGAGTTGTATGAAGCAAAGTATCTGGACATTTCCACATGCCTCTTGGGGACAAAATCACCACCAGTTGAGAACTACTGTTCTGGTGTTTAAAACAACACTGTCTGTTGGAACTTGCTGCAATAAGGGTTGGTGCCATAAGCCACATATGGCTACTGAGCAATCTAAATATGTCTAGTATGAGTAGGAGTGAAATGCTAAGTTTTATTTGAATTAATTCAACTTCACAAACATGTGACTGGTGATCATTATACCCAAATCTGTAATATGTGATCTTTTGTGACTGACTTCTTAATATTCTTCTAATATTTCCTTGAAAAAAGTTCCCACTTTTGTCTATGTACTCTCATTTCTTAACAGGTTAAATATATAATTACCATATGACCATGCAATTTCACTTGTAATCATCCACCCAAGAAAAATGAAAATTTAGGTCTACACAAGCATTTATACATAAATGTTAAGAACGCCATTACTAATAATAAGAAAAAGAAGACATAACCCCAATACCCATCAAAGCATCAATATCTCTATATAATGGACAATTATTTAGCAATAAAAGAAGAAGGAACAATGGATACAATGCTAGAATTCAGGACAACCTTAAAAATGGCATACTAAATGAATGAAGTCAGTCAAAAAGATCACATATTACAACATTCCATTTATGTGACATATGCAAAATAGGAAACAATGGAGACAGAGAGTAGATTTGTAGTTCACGAGGGCTGGACTGAATGAACAGACTTAGTGGGACACACAGCTGCTGGATGCAACGTTTTACTTGGAAGTGATGAAGACATTGCAAAAATTAAATGCTGGTATAGTTGCAGAACTCTGTGATTATACTAAACCATTTAATTATATGCCTAATTGGATAAGTTTTATTGTAAGTGAATTATATCTCATAAAGCTGTTTCAAAAATCTTTCAGTATAATCCATCACATGAACAGATCCCACAAGATCATCTGCCTTATTATATCAGTTAGTACAAAGTATTCATTCTTGAACTGGAAGTAGCTTTTTATAATATTCGCCCAAGACATTTTCTCTACTACCTACCACTACCCTCATTTCCAAGATAAATTAAACAATGCTATATTTTATCCAAATTGGGATTTTAAAAAATCTAAGAATGTCCATTACTCAGTAAAATCATGTCCTTCTAAAGGACATTGAAGTATAGGGAAGAATGTGAGTGACATTCCTAGGATAATCCCAGCCTGCAAATCAGAGGGTCTGTGTTTGTAATTGCTGATTCCATTCAGCCTCTGATTTTGAGAGGAATAATAAACAAGTCAACACTGCCAATGAAAAGTATAGAAGGAAACGAGGATCCTAGTATTCAGCTGTATTTTGTCATGAGTCAGACTGGCCAGTCCCTGGTGAGACACTAAACCAGGAAAGAGAAACAGCTTTGTCAGAGCATTAGAAGATGACATTCACTTATTCCATGTAGTCCAGATAAAGCCCATTCTCCAGTTTTAATCTCACTCAACCCAAGTAACTTCTTAGGGAATCAATACATTTCATAGATTTCAGTTATAAGTGAGGTCATGTACTGAAAATAATGGTCAGGCTCATTGACTACTCAGGAAACCCTGACGTGTATAGGAGGCCAGGAGGGGGAAGCCACAGAAGACCAGTGAAGTAAAGTCAATCTAAATGAAAAAAAAAAAAAAAATATA